TCTAACTGAATTGGTGAGCTGCAGATTCTGCAAAAGACCCTGTCTCAAAAATAGGTAGAGAACAATCGAGGAAGACACCCACCCGGTGGAGACCTTTGGCCTCTACATGCATGCCCTGCCCCTTGCTCACTCATTGTCTGCATTTAGCACACAATTGGTTTGAATGCAAATTGTTCATTAATAACTTCTCCAGCATTAGTCCTAATCTGCCCTGGAGCTATATAGATAGCATGGGTGCCTCTCTTTGAATTCTTTAAAAATGTGACCAAACTCATCAGTCTGAAGGCCCAGCAAAGCTAGTGGCAATAAGAAACTATTCCACAGGTACCAGAATGTGAACCTGTTAAATAGTCTAGCAATAACAAGTATGGATGAGGATGTGAAGAGGCAAGCATCTCATGCTGTACAGGTGGGATTGTCACTAGGTATAGCCATTTTGGAAAAACATTGGCATTAGAGAGTGAAGTGGGAAACAACAGCTGATGCAGTTGATGGATTAAAAGATTAAGAATGTTCCAACAAAGTATTCACAATGGCGAGAAACTCAGAACTCCTCAAGGCTTTTACAGTTTTTACAGAGAAAATGGTAGTGGCATATCTTTGCAGTAGAGTGCTAAACAACAGTGAAAATAAATGAATGAATCCCTGCATCAACACAGAGCTATCTTAAAAACACAATGTATAATATAATAGAAAAACCAGGGCTGGAGAGATGGCTCAGAGGTTGAGAGCACTGCTTGCTTTTCCAAAGGTCCTGAGTTCAATTCCCAGCAACCACATGGTGGCTCACAGCCATCTGTAATGAGATCTGGTGCCCTCTTCTGGCTTGCAGGGATATGTGCAGACAGAACACTGTATACATAATAAATATATCTTTAAAAAAAAAAATATAATAGAAAAACCAGATACATGGGATAATTTATACAATAGGGTTTAATTGACCAAGGTTGTGCAACCTTTAGGCAGTAGAAACTGGCTGGAGGTCACATGTTGCTTGGGGTTTTGTAGCTGCCTCCCCCCAATTCTTATTCTTGTTCTGCAACCAGATGGCCTCATGCTCCCTGTGCCACACTTCTCCAGCCAAGAGGGAAGTGTCCCCTTGACATCTGAGCCAAAATAAACCCTTCCTCCCTTAGGTTGTGCTTGCTAGGTATTTTGTTGCAGCAACAACGTGCATCTCCTGGCAGTTCTTACACCTTCTTGTGCACTGAGCTGCAGGTGATAGTCCTGCCTCTCTGAGGTTCTTCCATAGACCTATCCCGAGAAGCGCAGGAAACAATGGGATTCTGTATTGATGACACGCAGACCAAGTGGTCCTTTGTTACCATGTCCTAAGGTCCTGAGGCTTGGGTCTTGCCTGGGGCCAAGGTTGTATGCTTCTCCATTGTTCTCCCTAAATCATTCATTTGCCAGGTATCTAATAAAGTACCTACTATGTGTTGGGGACTGTCACAGACCGTGATGGAGCTCTGGAAGCCAAAAACCCCTAAAGCCTCCATCTGGTCTTGATTATTTTTAACAGTAAAAAGGAAAAAATTCATTGACTCAAACTACAGTAATTCTATTTACCTTCAACCAAACATGGTGAAGTTATCAACCTGTGGTGGCTCCCTCTCCTCACAGATAGAAAATGCCTAGATAAATACAGCGAGGGACATTTTTAAACATGTAAAAAAATCAATTTTCATAAGGTTACATCTTTTTACCTCTTTATATAAAACATGCTGTATTAAAAGAGAGATTAAATTTTACTCTGTGGACTAAAATGCAAACACAAAATTATTTTTTCATTTTTCAGAGCATGCACTGGATTATCATTTATTTATGAGGCTTTTTTTAATCTAGAATATATGGAAATCTTTTCTTGAAGCACAATATAATATTGAATTGGGAATGTTGTCTGACAGTTCCCCTCTCACGGTTGTGGAGAATGATTCTCCTGTATGAATTTTTTAAGGAAACTTCAGTGTGCTCTGCATCTGCAAAGGAAGTTGTGCATCATCGTCTCGAGACACCTTTTCAAGGTTCTCTCCCGACTTTGTGCTCCTCCAACTTTTCTGCCAGAGACAATGCTTCTGTGATTTTTCAGAACTCACAAAATGTCCACTTTACTTTCTTTGGCTCAATTCAAAGTTTTCCACTTGCGGGGCTGGTGAGATGGCTCAGGAGGTAGAGGAGCTTGCCACCAAGCCCACAGATCTGAGTTTGATTCCAGGGATTGACATGAGGAACAAGAAAGCTGACTCCTGCACATTGTCCTCCAGCTTCCACGTGTACAACAGGACACACATGCACCCTCACCCATACACACACACACAAATATACAAATGTAATTTTTAAAAATGGTTTAAAAGTTAAACTTGGGGATTTCCTGTCCCAGAAGACCTTGTGATGAGAAGCACAGCTGAGGTGTGCTCCTTTATGTGTGTTTCCGCTGTACATTTTCCTTATCTGGAGGCACTGGACTTGGTTAGTGTCCTTCTTTCTAGTGTGTTCTGAGGCAAGTGTCCGTTTCAGACCTGTTAAACATCAGTGGTAAAGTCTCAATGGTGACAGCAGGCACCACATGGATGCTGATGTAAACAGCTCAGTCCTTCCATAGGATCCTTTCAAGACTAGGTCCTTGGTGCCTCTCCATGTGTACTACCACCTGCTGGTCTAGTTACAGCTTGATCATTTGTGTGCGTGTGTGTACGCATGCACACATGTGCAGGCATGCAGGTGGTAGTGTACATGTACATGTGGAGTCCAGGAGTCAAACTTGGGTGTCATTCTGCAGGTGCTATCTATCATGTTTTTTGAAAACAGGATCTCTTTGGCCTGCAGCTTTTCAAATAGGCCTGGCTGGCTGTCCAGCAAGGCTCAGGGATCAGCCTTTCTCTACCTCCTCAGTGCTATGATTGCAAGTATGTACCGTCATACTCTTTTTTTTTGATGTGAGTTCTGGGGCGAGAACTCGGGCCCCATGCTTTTTCACTGCAAGCATTTTACTGGCTGAGCCATCTCTCCAGCCCCTGATAATGTCTCACTTCAACACAAGCTAATGTGCACCAATTACCATGTTGTTGATGCCTCTTTTTGTAATTAAAAATAATCTTATACCATTAGCTTCCTCCATTGACATTCAATTTTATATTAATGTATTATAAATATGTATGAATAACAAAATAAATGTAATGTATATATAGTACATTGACACACATTCTCAATTTACAGAGGCAGAAAGATTCATAGACATACAGAAAGACAATCATTATAAATAGTATGAAAGAAACTCATCCAGACCCCCACTGAAAAAGAAGATAGTATCACACGGTGTCTGTATTTTCCTGGCCCTTCATGATTCTTTATGAGCAGGGGTGGGGGTAGGGTTTGGTTGGTTTCCCTTCATTTTCATATCATCAACTACTTTACCAGGGGTCATTTAGAAACAGATCGATATGACACATCAACACTATAAGTAAATGAAAATGAGTGCAGTGGTTTTTCAAGGGATTTCTAGCAGAGTGTTGGTGACACCTCGCCTGTGCACTCTTGCTGAGCAGTTTCATTTTGAGAAGACAGCCAGATACATGAGCATGTCTGAGAGTGCTGTGACAGCTCTGATTAGCCTCGGGATTCCTCATGAGCTTTCTTCTTTTCCAGAGACCCCCCCACAATAAAAGATGGAATATTAAGACTCTCTCATACTACTTCATAGTTGTCTGTCCCTCTGTGCGTTTGTTTTCAAGGGATGTCCATTAGTTTTCCTCTCCACTGTAATCATGTTGTAGTTCCCATTTTTGATCTGGGGAGGGCTTTCTTTTTCTAGTTTTTAATTTGTTTGGATTGTTTAAAATTCATTTAACTTGGGGTGGTCACCACTGACGGTGGTAAATAGCTTAGTCAGTGTGGTGTTTTGGATGAGAGTGGCCCCTATAGGCTCATATGTTTGCATACTTAGTCCACACTTGGTGAACTGTTTAGGAAGGATTAGGAGGTGTGGCCTCGTTAGAAGAAGTGTGTCACTGGGGATAGGCTTTGAGGTTTCAAAAGTGCACACCAGGCCCAGTGTCTCTCTCTCTGCCTTCTGATCAGGATGTAGCTCTCAGTTACTTCTCCAGCACTATGCTTGCTTGATTGCAGTCATTCTACCATGATGATAATAGACTACCATTTGAAACTGTAAGCAAGCCCTCAATTAAATGCTTTTATTGTACAAAAGCTGCCTTGGTCCTGGGTCTCTTCACAGCAATAGAACAGTAACCAAAGACAGTTGGTAAGGTGCTTGCTTTCCATGCACAAGGACCCAAGTTCAATTCCCAGAACCCATATAAAATGCCAGGTGTGGCAGCTACACAGAATGTCACTGTGTGGAACTGGAAAGCTGACAGGAGCCCAGAGTTCACCTTTATCTTCCGTGGGGCAGAGGGAGGCAGGGCTGGGAAATATTGACCCTCCACCTTTGCAGTGTGGGTAAGCAAATAGCGTCTGCCTTGCTTCAGATGAAGTTCGAGATGGTTGTTTCAGATGAAGTTTGAGATTGTTGTTTCAGATGAAGTAAGGGGTTACAGTGTCATGTCTGACACAGGGATCCCTGGGAATGACGTGGGAGACTTGAGAGATACCAAAGCTTCTTTCTTGTTTAAAACGAATTGCCTGACAGAGACACTGGAACCAAGGCGAGGTGTCACCATTTCATTCTTAAGCCACAGGTGCCACCTGTGTGAGGGAAGCATGCAAAGAAAGCCCAGCACCCAATCAGGAGGACAACGTTTACTTCTTCTGTGCCTCACTGTCTCTGTCTCTGTCTGTCTGTCTCTCTCTCTCTCTCTCTCTTTCTCTGTCTGTGTACCTTCTTTCCCCAGTATTTTGTAAGCCCTTTGAAAATAGAAGTTGTCTGTCATTCTTTTTCAAAAAAAAAAAAAAAGCTTCCTAAGTGCTGAGAATGAGTTGCCAGCTGATCACCTCTAGGATTGCACATGAACAGCATCTCCTGCCCAACAGAACCCCCCCCCCCACACGCCCCACCCACCACCGCTACTCCCATTGTGAACACATGGAAGGACTGAGCAAATGGCACAGAACTGATTTCTTTAGCCTGAGCATGCTTTTCTACCACATTGCCTTTTTCAGCCGAATGCTCAAGTGCTGGTAACGCTCAGCTTTGCAGAAAGAGGCAGCAAGAGTGAAGGATTTCACGTTCAAATCCAGCTGCATGAAGAGTGAAGTGGTGGGGGAGGGGAAGAAAGTGACTGGTCTTGTGTGAGAACTTTTAGAATTATTATCCACTTTTATTGCCGTTTATGATAGCCCTCATTAGAGTGGATTCCTAATGTGTATTACTACATCTCCTTGCCCCTCCTCCTTCAAACACTCCTTGTAATTCCTTTCTCTCGTACCTGCCCATGCAGATGGTAATTCGTTTTCTTAAGTTCAATTTAATAAGTTTCTAAAGGGTATCTATGAACAGGTCATGAGAAACAGCCTTTGACCGTGTTAGAATAGGTTTGAGGATTTTAAAAAACGTTTCTTAATTAAGAGCTTTATTGGTCCTTTTTTTTGTTTTGTTTTTCATGCAACATATAACAAGTGTTTTAAAAATATTTACAACTCCAATCTTAAAAAGAAAAAAGTTATATGTGGCCATTTGAATTAATTGCAAAAATGACACTACATTAATTAGATAATTAAAGGTCTCAAGCATGTGGCTATTGTATTCATTGGGCTGGAAGCCAGTGTCTTCTATAGCTGAGAAAGTGGGTTAGCATAATTCAATATTCAATTGCTGCACCCGCTTTCATATGAATAGATAATACAGAAGGAACCTTAAATCTGGCTGGGGAGAACTAACAGGGACTGGTTTTATTTTAATTGAGTTTTAAGCACTTCTAGGCCATCTCACTGTCTTTACAGTTTAACCCTTTGGGGTTTTCACTGCTAGCTGCTTGCCATGCTATCTCCCACTTTCATGGCCAGGATGTTTCTAGACAATTGAGAAACCTCTAGCGTGCCAGGGAGAGAGGCGCGGAGAGAGGGGGGGAGGAGTAGGGGAGGTGTTTTTGCTTGTGGTGGGGGCACTTGCAGGCTACTGGGTCACACAGAGGCCACAGGACAACCTTGGGTGTTGGTCCTCACCTTCCACCCAGCTTGAGCTTCTGGTGTTTGTGGCTGCATACACCAGGCTAGCTGGCCCCACGCTTCTGAGGATTCTCATGTCTCCACCTCCCATCTCATCATAGGAGTGCTGCAATTATAGATGCTCACTAACATGCCTGGCTTTCCATGGGTTCTGTGGATTCAAAATGAAGGTCCTCACGTTTGGGTGACAAGATCTTGACTCACTGAGCCACCTCTCCAGCCCCGTGAATGTATTCTTTACCAATAAACACCTCAACACAGTTTTTCTCCACACAGAGAATCCAGGCCACCGTGGACAGAAGTCCTTCACCCCAGTGCATTGTCTGCGCCTTAGCACATCAAGGTGACTTGTCAGGGAAATTCTCTCTTGTAACACCAGGTCCCCTTTAGATGACAGGACCTAATACAAAAGTTCTCCCCATACCAACTAGTCATGTAAGTTGATTTCATATCCTTTTATTTTATAAAGTTTTGCTTATCAGGTTTGTCATCCTGAATTTGAAATTAAAATGCGTGGTCTCTGGATGACCTTATCGTAACTGACCCCCAAATCTAATCACTCCTCGCATCTGCGAAAATCGACAAATATGTCAGGCATACCTTGGGCCATCAAAACAATGTTTTAAATATTTCATTTGTAGGCAAGGCAAAGATCATTTTCAGGTTAGTCCTCTGAGAAGGAACAGCACATGCACTCACGTCTTTGGTCTCTCTGAGCTATAATCGGTGCTCATTATCCATGGCTTTTTATAAGCAGAAAATGTACATTGTATGTTCTGCATGAGTGAGCTATTGATCGGATTTACGGCCAGAAGAATGCTTCTCCGTGGTCAATACCTGGCCGAAGTGTGTCAGGTGAAGGTAAAAATAAAGTGAGATCTATACTTTGGATGCCCATTGCCGCTACGCCATGTCATGCTTGTCGTTTGAGATTGCTGTTGAATATAGATAAAAATCATATTAACATAGATGGCAATGTAGCAGAGTATGTACCTCATCAATAGGACAGATTTGTGTCCTCTTAAATGTCAAAATTTATTTTCCAAAAGTCACATTCTTATGTCAATTGCTGTCCAACTCATGTATGTTAGACTTCATTGTAGGAAGACCTTTTCAAAACTCTGAGGATCTGGGAAGATGGCTCTGTCAGTAAAATGCTCTTATTCACTCATGAAGATCTGTGTTTGGATGGTTGAGACCCACATGAAAAAGCCGGTGTGGTGATATGCTCATGTAGTCTTTGCTCTGGGGAGGCAGAGACATAAGATCCCTGGAGCTCATTGGCCTACTGGTCTTGATGAGTTCATGAGCTCCACGTTCATTTAGAGACCCTTTCTCAAAAAACAAGAAGGTAGAAAGCAATGGAGGAATATTCCCAATACTGACCTCTGGCCCCTACATGCAGGAACATATATATGCACAAACACACGCATCTTCAAGTTCAGCTGCAAGGGAGAAAAGCAGGAATTCACAGTGCTCTTGTCTCTGCACAGAGCTCTTGAATAAGAGAGGAGTCAGAGGAAGTGGTCTTTTGCTCTTGAAACTTTAGCCTTTTGTGTCTTTTCCTTGGAGTATCTTCTAAAGTTTGGAAAAATTTGTGTTTTACAGTATCTTAGTCTTCCCACTCAGACAGCTGCTAGGCGCTGAGGCTCAACAGGAGTGGGTGGAGCCAGGGCAGGGATTGGCATGAGTTTCTCCTTGTGTGGAACAGGACAGCACTGGCTTCAAAGAGTGGATTCGTCTGTCTGGGTAATTCTGGCAACCCCTGGACCTGCTCCATGTACCCACTCTAGAACTCAGGATACCCAGTATCAGATCAGGGCCACCGTGATATCTTCCAATAAACTTCTTCTGAATGACTCTGCTTAGAAGAGGTTTATCTTTTTTCTGAAGCAGAGTCTATGGTTATGAAATGGAATGTAGATTGCAGGCTTTGTGGCGATACATACTCAGAATAGCTCCTAAGAAAGGCTGCACGTCTTAGGGGTACACAGTCTTCTTCCCAAGCTGGCATGATGATGATGCCAGACCATAGGGGAAGGACCTGGGAACCTACATCCCTAGAGGTAGGATTGGTAATCCACTCAAAGTGAAGTGAAGTGACACCAACACGGAAGAAGCAGAAGTCCAGGGCAAAGCTGCCTGTATACGACTGTTTTTGAGGAGTCCTCTGCAGTTGAGCTCCCTCAGAGCAATGCTTCCTGGGAAAATGTGGGCGGCATCTTCACATCAGGGCTACGTGCCATTGTTGAGGGTCCACCACCCTCTTGTTCTCTGAAAGTTGTCCAAGCTTCTCCATTCTTTGTAGTGCACAGTACACTCCTGTTCTCTCCCTTTGTATTTACAGTGTACAATTATAACTGTGTGTTTATTTCCTGTCTTCTGTAGCAAAGTGTGAGATCCTTGAAATCTAGGACCTGGCGTAACTTCATCTTCTCTGTTTTCTCAACATTAATTCGAGGCCCAGCAGCATCATTATCATTTCTTTTATCATTCATTATGAGGGCTAATATTGATTGTCAGTTTGAGAGGAAACAGAATCACCTAGGAGACAAACCCAGGGGATGTTTGTGAGGGAGTGTCTACGTTGGGTGAATCAAGGTGAAAAGCCCTACCCTAAATGTTGGCTACACTCTCCCATGGGCTGGGATCCTGGACCAAGTGAAAAGAAGAACTTGAGCTGAGCCCTTACATTCATCTACTTCCCGACTGTGGATGTCCTGTAAGCAGGCAAAAGAAACCCTTCCTTCGGGTGATTTTGACAGATAATTTGTCCCAGCAGTGAGAACAGTAATCAACACAATTACCGTAGTTAACGTTTGTTGCCATGGACAGTGTGTCAAACACTAGTAAAGAAGACTATGTGGGCCATTTCTAACCACTTTGTGAAAAATCAAAAGCCAGTTGGGGAGCCAGTGAGATGGCTGAGCAGGTGAGGGCTCCAACTACCAAGCCTGATGACTTGAGACGTGGTGGAAAGAATGAACCAACTCAAACAAGCTCTCCTCTGACCTCCACATGTACATCTTTAGTGCTTATACAGGCATATATAGAAATACAATGAAACGTAAATTTAAAAAACTCATTGTTTTAAAAAGCTAACTGAAGCTAGGGATGTATCTCAATGGTAGATCATTTGCCTAGCTAGCATGCTGGAGGTCCCGTGTTCAACCCTTAGCCCTACCAAAAAGTAAAATAGAATCATGCAGAGCATTCTCATTTTAGAGTTGGAAATGGGGTGAGCAGTAGAGCACTTACCTGACTTGAGTGATACTCAGGTTCAGTCCCCAGCGCTGTGAAAGCATAAAACAAAGAATTCATGTTGGCCAGGAGAAACATTCTGGCATCTGAACTCTTATGTCCCAGGCCCCAGTGTGCTAATTTCCATGCTTGGGATCCTGCACTTGGCCATTTAAACTTCGTTGGCTCCCAGTTCCTCATTAGTCAGGCTGGAATAACATTGCTTATCTGCTGTGTTCACATTCAGGATTAAACAGAAAGATTATTCTGAGCCTGGCATCCAACAAGAGCCAGTATACGGCAGGGGAGTGTGACTTTTATGTGCACTGTGAAGTTTGAGAGGTAGATATGCTGTTGGGTGAAAACAGCTAGACACTTGACATCCCAGTTGTCGTGGATACCTTGCCAGTTCCAGAGACCCTGCATTATCCCTCCACTCCTGGACTGTCTTGTCTTGTGCTCCAGTGCTAGCTACAGGCCTTCCCACCTTTCTGGAACGTGTGTGTCACAGCTCCCTCATGAGTACCTAGTCAGTGACACCATTTGTGCCAGAGTCAAAAGCAGGCCTGGCTTCTGCAGAAGAGAGAAGTCAGGACCGAGTTCACCTTGCTAAGAGGTGGAGATCTCAGAAGGCCAGAGGGAGTCTTCTGGCATACTGTGTATTACCCTGGTGACTTGAATCCATGTGTGTAGAGACACATGTGCAGATTCTTCAGGCAGAACATTCAGTCTTTGTGTATCTGAGTACATGTCAGCAGTACTGCAGAATAAAATTTGAGGGAATTTTCCTCCGGCTTCAACAGAAATTTTGGTTTCTCCAACAACTGAAGTGCCCTGAGGGCTGGTGTCACTGAAATGGCAGGATTGAGATGACCTGGTCGCTTGGCCTGCTTCCCCATTCTCCTCAGGCCTAAGCCCTGGCCTTTGCAAAGGTAGTTACAAGATCTGCTACTCAAAACCTGAACCTAAAAAGAAATCCTTCAGCCATATCTGTGTGAACTAAATATAGTGTCCGATTTACAAGGCTGTGGTCCTGACCACCCCCGGGCTATTTCTGACCACAGGGACAGCTTAAATGGCGTGGCCTATGAAATGTCATCTGCAAGCTCAAGCCAAGTGTTGATCTATTTAGGGCCAGGAGGAGACAGTGCTTCTGTCCTAGGCAGGATCCTGTGCTGAATGGAGACTAGTACCCTGGCTGCTGGCCAGAAAGCCGGGCCTCCTTCAGTATTCTGTCCCGTGAGGAAGATCCTGCTAGTTGCTGGATTGACTCATACTGCTTTGGACTCCCCAGAGCTAAGTCCACTCACGGGCCCCCAGTTGGAATTTTGATGGGGACTTGGCATTAACTTGTCAGCCCCCAGGAGTCTCTCAGTATTCTGCATTCTTCTTTTCTCTTTTCCCATGGCAGTCACCAAGATTCTTTGACTCAGATGGTGCCTCCTTCCAAGTCAGTTGAATACAGATTGCTCCAGGGGACCTAGTTCCTGTCCTCTTCCCTGCCCCCACTCCCAGACAAGGGCAGATTCCCAGTTGTCGTGGATACCTTGCCAGTTCCAGAGACCCTGCATTATCCCTCCACTCCTGGACTGTCTTGTCTTGTGCTCCAGTGCTAGCTACAGGCCTTCCCACCTTTCTGGAACGTGTGTGTCACAGCTCCCTCATGATGTCACTGTGCCAGTGACCTGAGTCGAGACCAGTCTGCCCAAGCCTCTGTGTTCTCCCTTACCACATGGAGGAGCAGGTTTCCTGTTCTTGAGTTTTGTTCCTCTTGCTGAATGCAAGCTGTCGTCTCCAGTACTTGGCATCTCTTGGTTGCTGTTTTAGATTCTGTGTTACTCACTATTGAATTTCCTTCCCAACAACCTTGCACTGAACAGTTACTCTCCCTGCTACAAGTGAGAAAACACGCTGGGTATGTTGGTGCTATACACCGGTAATCCCAGTATTTTGGAGATTGCAGCAAGAAGATCATGAGTTTAAGTCCAGCCTGTGCTACATAGTTAGATCCTATCTCTGTATCTCAATGCTGCACCCACATACATAAACAAAAGTGAGAAAGTGGGGGATGAAATATTCAATACTTTATGCATTGTGAACCAGTCAGAGTTGTGATGTTAAGAATGAATAACACTTACTGACTTTCATGTATTTGGGGAATATACTAGGCCTAGAATAATCTTACTTCTTCTTCTCTAGACTGCCAGGATGAAGATATCATTGTAGTCTTTTAGACATGGGTAATTTTGGTTGAGGAAGGTTAAGTAATACACTCAAGGTCATCTGCCTATAAGTAGGGACATTTTCATCTCAGGTCAGATTCCTTCTGTGTTCATCAAATACCACATTTCAACTCCTTTTAATCTTGATGGAAGCTCTTCACACACTTTGAATTCTACACGAAACTGTCCCAACATCCTACAGTATGCGTTTGAAAAGCCCTACCAAGGCATGTGGAAGTCTTGCTATTCCGTAATGATGTAATGTAGTTAGCACACATTGTAAAATTTTTATGACATTTCAGAGAAACCAACAAAACAGAGCCTAACTCTCAGCTAAGAGTTTGAAAAACAACCCATACAGCAACTCTCCTATCGAGTTTTATCATCATCCCATTCATAATTGATTCCAAACTTGCATGAATCTTTCAAGATAAGTGTCTTATTGATTATCTCAATACAAGCGATCACTTGGCATCCTGGTCTGCTCACTGTCTTCCCCTGATTACCGTAAACAATGAGGTTGACCAGAAGAAATGTCACTGTCTTTGGCACTGGACACCTGGGACCTTCTGCGGCACTGGCGATGGGAAGCAGAGGCAAGGAAGTGGCCCAACTAGAGCGTTGCTTGGTCATGGTCTTGGTCCTGTTCTGAGGAGCTACGCGTGGACATGGCGTGGGCAGTGAAGTCATGCTTGCCGTCTCAGCTCAAGGGCTTCTTTGGTAGCTGCGCAATGGGTCCCGATGACCTGATCCATGGCTGTCAGGAAACATTAACTCTCTTCAGTAGCATCAGTTTCCTGCTGTTTACTCATGGTTATGTAAATCAACCCTGCCCCCCTCCCCCTTCTAGGAAATGGTTGGAGTGTTTACAAGGGACTTAAGCTGCTCATTTGTAGTTGTGGCAGCTATAATACAAATGAACTCAGCGTTGGAGAACTTCGCCCGCCCACCCAAGGGACTGTCCCGGCAGTGCCCCACCACCCTGGCCTTTTGCACTGTTGCCCACAGGCCTCGCGCTGGTACAAGGTAGGGTCAGGGTTGACCAGGGAGCTGGATAAAGGGAAGTCTCGGAGGCAGCTCCTGAGGAAGCCTTGAAGTACTCTCCAGATGACAATAGCCCTAAATTGAACAGGTTGGGCACTTGGCAAACAGGAGGCCTGGCACATGGACTTTTGAGGACAGATAATGAAGATTCAGGCCATTGCCTTAAATTAGCAGCCCAGCTTCTTGAGGCTGCCACTGCCAAATACTTGTTCTGACCCCCAGGGGACAAGATAGGGCTACTCAGCATCCTAGGGAGCCTGCCTGTCAGAAAGCCTTGTTCAACAGCAAAAGCTGCCCTTCGTGATTGCTGAAGGTTGTTTTCGTTATAGTGTTGATGATGATGATGATGATGATGATGATGATGATGATTCTTCTTCTCTGTGAGAGGGAGACAGAGAGAGAGCAGGTGCATGCATTTGCTTACTACTAGAGGACAACTTTCAGGAGTCAGTTCTCTTCTTCCACTGTGGGTTCTGGATTTCGAACTCAGGTCATCAGGCTTGGCAGCAAGGGCTTTTATCCACTGCACCGTCCCACTCGCCCTGAATGTGAGTGGCCTCATGGTGCTGCATGCAGGTCATGAACCTAAGTAGAATTCCCTCACTGCTGCAATCACAGATTTACCAAGGCCATGTGAAGAAACAGTCCGCTTTTTATAGAAGAGGACATCTTTGAGGCAGAGAACGTAAGGTCCTGCAGACCTTTAGTCTTCATGTGATGGTCATTGCTACCAAGGTTTCCAGGTGCCTTCTAACGCCATGCACATCTGCTTAGACAATGTTGCAAGTTCATTTAGCATCCCTGCATTCATCTAAAATGTTTTAAATTCCATTTACTGCAGGGCGGTGGTGGCGCACGCCTTTAATCCCAGCACTCGGGAGGCAGAGGCAGGCGGATCTCTGTGAGTTCGAGGCCAGCCTGGTCTACACAGCGAGTTCCAGGATAGCCAGGGCTACACAGAGAAACCAAGTCTGGAAAAAAACAAACAAACAAAAATTCATTTACTTATTCACTGGTGCGTGTGTGTTGGGGTGGGGAAGGGAGTCAAGCCATGTGTACAGATCAGAAGACAATTTGTGGAAATCGTTCTAGGATTCTAGGGATCAAACTCAGGTCATCAGGCTTGGTAGGAAGTGCCTTAACTCACTGAATCATCTTTCCAGCCTCAGAAATACCCCTTTAAGTAAAAAACAAAAACGCCATATTTATGTACGTATGTGGGTAGGTGTGTACACACCACAGTATGCATGGGGAGGTCTGAGGACAAGATTGGAGTCATTTATTTCCCCTCGCACGCGTGGATTTCAGGGATTGCATGCAGGTCACCTAGCTTGGTGGCAAGTGACTTTATTCAGAGCCATCTCACTGAGCCTGTATCACTTTATAGCTAAGCATGATGCTGAGCATAAAGAGCTAAATCCAGAATGGACTCGTTGGAGAAGCCCAGGAGTCCCTGTGTTGCTGATTGATGGTGGTGGTGATGCTGATGGTGATGATGATGTTGATGATGATGATGGTGGTGATTGTGAAAATGGGAGTGGAGGAGAAATCGAATGGGGAGGAGGGAAAGGAGGAGGAGCTGGCTTTTCTCAGGAAGAAGTGCTTTCCTCCTTCATCCTTTCTGTACTGTTCAGTAGGCTGTCTGCAAAGCTCGGTCTGAGAGCACTGCCACCTCGAACAGACATGTACTCCATCCCAGTCAGCCTCCTTATGCTGACCTTGTCAGGGATCTGTAGGGTTCTCCCATCCTTCTCTGAGTCTCTTCTGCTACCAATTATGTTTTAATG